TTGGATGAAGATGTCACAATTACTCACCAGAATTATGTACTTCATACCAATTTATACAAGTTTTTGGTAGCTGACGCTTTTAACTCATTATTCCAATACTTCGATCGCTTTAAAAACTCCCATTTTATACTCTAAAAGGTCCGAATCAAAACCTAAAATGTTACTTGTCTACCATTCAATCGGTTATTTATTATTAATGATTGATTTTTCAGAACTGGTGCCTAGTTCATTGCTCTATGATACTGTTCCTGCTTTTACCAAAATACCTGGGGTTGGAAACATGTTCTGGTGGTTCTACCACACTAGAGCACTTGGTTTCACACATGATCATCCCATAATATTGTGGCTGGACGGTGTAACTGGCATACCCCCCAGCTTATTGGCCAATTTTGGAATGTTTGGCATGTACGACATCAATTTAAAACGAAGACCAGATTCCTGGGTAACACACATCTTATTATCTAAATATATCCTGTGATTAAATATGTATAACCATTCCGAAAAGTAAATAATATATGTATAATAATACAAAAGCAAAAGTCAAGGACTAGTTTTCGAATTATCAAAAATCAAAGTTGTTTTTAATTCTGTTTGAATGTTCGTACAATAGCGTAGTTACCTAATTTTTATTTTAATGTCCGTCTGGTAGATTATTTTAAATCATTAGACACGTATTTTTTATTTTCTTACAGAAATGAATACTTTCGGCGATATATTGATTTGAAATGTTGCTTGACGTCACTTCTATGTAGGTACATTTTATACGTAGAAATGACGTTTTAGCCCCCACTCCTAAACTTTGATTCGTTTTATCTAAGTATTGCTTTATTATACAGCAAAATAAAAAAAATACGTGTCTAATATTTTGTCATTACCTAACTTACGAACTAATTATAATTTTAAACTAACTCATGACATTTTAAGCAAAGTAAATATTTTTGCAGATAAATCGATACAATTTACTTTTCATTGATGCACCTTTGGGGAGAGGATTTAGTCATCCTATAAGTATTGATAAAATACCAAAAAATATTGATGAAGCTGGTAAGTTTGTGCACTATGTATGTACATATTTATTGTTGTACCATCTAATATCATACAATAATTGAAATTGAATTTTACAGCTGAACATTTAGTAATAACTTTGGAATCATTCTACGACCTTATGATACATTTTAAAAATACTCCTATATACGTTTTCGGTGAAGGGCATGGTGCACAACTAGCCCTAGCACTTGTTCAAAAACTTCACCAAGTAAGTGGTTTTGAGAATATATTTATAATAATAAATCAGAGATAATGAATAAATGGATACGTAAAATATATTGCATGTAGTTCTTAATAGAATAAACGTTGGCCATATAATTTTAACAATTTGTTTTTCTTTTAATAATTCATTCTCTTGATAGGTAGAATTAACTGCGGCCTACATGAACTATATAATTAATATTATTCAAATTTTTGCTCATTTTCAGAATGGTGATCTGGGCATGATTAAGGGTGTAATCTTAGGAAATGGTTTAGTAGCCCCAGCACAAACCCTATCGAAACTTGGGTTCTATCTTGAGGAACTTGCCTATATCGATGGCAATGGTCGCCAAGCAATAGAAAATTTAACCAATATGATATCGACAGCAGAAATAAACGGAAGACCTGATTTCGCTTTTGAGCTATTTCAAACTTTAGGCCACGCTGTTAACGAAGAAGCTGGTGCCGTGGCTGTTAATCTTGGTCACATTGTTCAGAAATTAACTAAAGAATCTCCTGATGGGGCTCAAGGTACCTTTATATTATGATGAAGATAATTATGATCTACTTGAAAGTACCTATAAAATACTTCCTGGTCGAGACTACGCTTTTAATTATATTTTATTTTAAAATTTAATTGATTGCTTTGAAGTGTTTCGTTTTCTACGTACGTGATTATTTACATATATTTCGTCATTAATTTCAGATTACTTCGGACAATGGGAATACATACAAAGTTTTGACAACAAGCTGAATACTAATACTATGAACATAATCATTCGTCCAATGTTGGGGGTACCTACTACCATATTTTACGATGTGCATCGAGAACACGTTGTAAATGCTTTCAAAAACACTTTAATGGTACCGGCGGTTGATAGAGGTAAGATCGCTTAGTCTTATTGAAATTATTTTTGAAAATTATTTAAAACTGGAACTTCAGTCTTTGATTTCTGGGCGTCTATTAAATAGGTAGGTATACTTAATCTGTTAGTGTTATAGCGGTTTTTTCAACAGTGGCTTTGCACTTACACAATAAACAGACATGTTTAAATTGAAGCAAAATTATTTAAGAGTCCCTATTAATTGAAGCCTATAGCATTTTGAGCACCTTGCCAATCTAGAACTACGCCACTTTTTCCAGCAGCTAGGTTGTTACCTTTTTAAATTAACCTTTTGATTTATTTTAATACTTGATCTAAGACAGTTATTCATGTCCTTGAGACGCGCCGGACCTCAGTGTTCCCGTGTTTTCATACTTGTATTAATATAGATCCTGGCTTACATGAGTTTCAGTGGTTTATGAGGATGTTTGATTCATTCTTTCTTTCTTTCTTTCTTTCTTGTAAATATAAATCCATTCAAGGTCATTTTAACAAAGCAATGCTGTTACTTAATTAGAAATAAGTACTCGACCACGGTACATGAGAAGACCCTGTTATAATAAATAAATCAATAATTATAATATTACAGTTTGAAGCTCAGGTATAGAAACAAGTTATTTTTGTAACATTTTTTACAATTTAAAAATATAGTAACGCAGGGCTGATACCTGCCAGTGAGTGCTAGGTCATGACTTAACCTTAGCGCATTATAAATCATTCGTCTACTTTCTCGGAGAGTTCAGTAGCTACTTACTTAGTCTGTCAACCAATAGGTCATTTAAGGTACTTTTTTAAATAATTATCTTCTTTTTCAGTTGAATACATTCTGAATAACACAGACATTCCCGTGACTATTTATAATGGTAATTTGGACGCGGTATCCAACACACCAGGTAAACATTTTAATACGTAACTTAATTGATTATACCTACCTACTACCAAGGTACTTACTTATCCAAACTATTTCGAAAGTCAAACACAAGTTCTGCTCAATTAGAAATCCAAATATTGATTCCATTACTTCTATTGATATATCATTCATTGATATATCATGATTGATGATTCATATATTTTTCTCTGAATTCTAAAATAAGGTAAGTATTAAACTACCTAGGTACATTGAGTTTAGCATAGGACAACTGGTTCCTAACCTAATGCTTATCATATGTGTTGTAATTAATATAGGTATATCCACGGTATTTTTCAGGACAATTAGAATGGGTGAACAACCTCAATTGGTCAGGACAATCAACGTTCTTAGAAAGTCCAAGGCTTCCTATATTTGTGAAGGGCTTACTTGAAGGTCATTATAGGAACTCTACGAGACTTCAATTCTATTGGGTGAATGTAGCTGGACAATCGGTAATAATTATAACTTTTCTGTTTCTTTATAAGGCTTATTTTATAACAAACAAGCATAAAATGAGTTCGTTATCAGATGAGCCTGATGGTAAGAAATCGGCATCACCCATGCATGCCCCAACATTAAAGGCGTTACAACTGCGTTTACCGGCCTTTTGGAAAAAAGGCGATCCTCTCAAAGAGTTTGAATCACTTGGATCGAGTTGGCCCATTGGTGCTGAATCATGGTTCTCCTACGCGATTTTTTTTTTTTTTTGTTAACTCGCTTTTCATTATCTTTACAGGCACCGCTGGATAATCCCGTTGGAATGGATACCATTCTACGTGGGATTATAAGAGATTAGTTCAACGCTTCAGATGCTTATGATGAAGTGATATTGAAGTACCTACCTTGTCTAAACTGTGAGGGAGTACCTAACTGAAGCTAAAAAATATGATCATGAAACTTAAAATGTAAAAAATAAATTAATTACGAAAAAAAAATTAGGTAGCTAGCCTACTTTGGCAATACTTACAAAAATATTTCATTTAGGTATTAAGCTGAATAGTAAAAACCGAATCAGACAGTCAATAAAAATAATATTAATAATTCCTGAATGTTATTATTTCTTCCTGTTTATTTCTGTGTGTAAAATTATCGTATGCAGCGGCTGAATGTCAGGTAAGCACAAAACGTGGATTCCATTGTCGTTATTCTCGCATGATTGGTTAAAATGTTCTGGTGAACCTGAATTTAATAATCCGCCTTGAGAAACGTGGTGATTGATACTCATTCTTAAAATTTAAAGCTCCATCACACTAGCGTTTGTCCAGCGCAGGTCTCGATAAACGTATGCGCCGCGTCACGGCGGCGCTAACGCCACATATTTCATTTGATTAAGTTTAACGCCTACGCTGGACAAACGCGAGTGTGAAGGCGCTGTTATTCGTATGGAGATATTCACGAGTCACGAAATACTCCATTTTTTAAATCAATGCAGAACAAAGTAAGTCATAATTATTTATTTATTAAAAATAGGCTTCACTACAATATTAACAGTTGACTAGCACGCGCGCTTATTGCAACAACTAGTGTTAACAACAGTTACAAGCTAAACGAGCAGTTTCTATCTCTTAATTCTTTTTATTCCATGCTGTCTCCAGTATCCAGCAGGGAAATAAATTACCCAATATAATATAAAGTTAATTTCCTGCTAGGTACAAGGATCAGTAAGAGACACCGGAGGCCTAGCTTGTTACAACAAGGCTAGCTTGTTATAGTCGTATATTCGTAGTCGATAGTTTTATTTCAATCAAAATGTAAAAATGGTCCGTTGGAGCGTTGGAACCAGCATTTGAACTTTGAAACACAGACTACTTAGAGATACTACTTTAAAACAATAATATTAATGAAATCATAATAATCATTCATCAAAGGTCTATTTAGGTCTATGACATTTTTAATCTGTAATTCTGTATTCTGTAAGTTGACATTGACATGACGTGACGTAATAGCCTAATGCTAAATGCTAGGTAGCTGTCAAACTGAAATAATAAATTGATTTCTACTGTTCAGTCAGTTCAGTGTGTTAATTGTGTTTCTTTAAATAATACCGCTTAAACGTAACTAAATAACTTCTAATATTAAGTATCCTAATTGGGCCTCCAGCCCAAACAAACTTTTGTTCTTTGTAAAAAAGTGCCAAAACTCAATTTCAGTGTAAATAGCTCATACACAAAACAATGGCTGATATTCTTGATATATTAGAGTTAGAGCAACCAGCTAATGAGATCAGTAGGGATAGTATAATACATGGAGATAAAGTGAAGAAGAAGTATGTGACTGCAAAAGCAGTGAAGCGACCTGAGGGGATGCACAGAGAAGTATTTGCATTGTTGTACAATGACAACAAAGATTTACCTCCACTTTTGCCCACCGACACAGGTTTGTACATTACACTATAAAATGTTCATCTTCTTATAGTGCCTCTTCTATGTTGAAGGTCGGCCGTCAGCTTCTTGTATTTCTCCTTGTCGGTAGCCATGCGGAACAATTGTTCGACAGATGTAATGCCGGTCCACTCCCGGATGTTTCGCTGAAAATGTTCATATATCAATCAAATTCATTATATATTTTAGTCTAAAAATATGTTATGTATCAACAAATTTGATTAAGCTAAGTATGCTTGTTAACTTTGTCTATTTTTCATCAGGCAAAGCCTACAAACAAACAAAGGCTAAGCTTGGTATGAGAAAGGTGAGAAAATGGGTGTGGGCTCCATTTACAAACCCTGCAAGGACTGACAATGCTGTCTTTCACCATTGGAAACGAGCAGCGGATGAAGCCAAGGAGTATCCCTTTGCGCAGTTCAACAAGGTAAAACCTTAATTCAATGTTTTATTTATTTTATTTATTTATTTATGGATTGGAAAACCAACAGCTACACATAGGAAACAAACAGATAACATAATAACACCAGAGAGCCAATTATAGGTTTTCACGGACAGATTTCACATTATTCAATTAAAAAAAAAAAAACACTCACAGTCCAAACAAATACATCGTTTAGGGAAAGAAAACTAATAAAAAAAAAACAACAAGACAATGTACCAACTAAATAAAAAACATAAAAATTAAACACACACCAACCACACTACCAACAATAACAAATTAATAATAAACCAAGTTACCCACTTAATTCATTGATCAATTAAAAAAAACTAGGGTGAGCATCCTTCGCACCGCAGAAGTCCGCGTCACAAACGGATCTATTGGATACTCCTTACACAAGTTGTTTAAGTCTCTGCTTGCACGCATAATAAAGGAATTCTGCCTATACCTCGTTGAGGAATTCCGAATTAAAAGTGGGGGATGTTAACTACTTATAAGTATTTTATATTCTTTCAATATGTTGGTGCTACTTTAGTAACTTTTATATTTTGGAAATTACTCAAATGCTTAGTCTGTCTTTATTCAGGGTAAATTTTATAAAAATTACTAATATGTAAAAAGTCTTATGGGTGTTAAGTTTTTTTTTAATGATTCAAGTAGAGCCTCTTTTAAATTAATCATTACCCAAAAAAATTGAATAGCTTTGAAAAGATTACCTTAATAACTTACTTACCCTCACTAAAGCCTTTTATAGGATAACTACTCATGTATTATTTTTTCCTCTTTAGCAAGTGTCAATACCATCTTATTCAGAGTCAGAATACAATCAGTATTTGAAGTCTGAGGATTGGAGTCAGGCTGAAACTGACCACTTAATGGACTTATGCCAAAGATTCGATCTGCGGTTCATTGTCATCCATGACCGCTGGGACAGAGCTGCGTTCAGGGATCGCACTGTTGAAGATTTAAAAGAACGATACTATGGAATCTGTGCTACGTTGAGCAAGGTATGTTATTTATATGCCAAAGTTATTATTCTGATGAATAGCACATTCCCATTGTAACGGGAGTGATGATTATCACTCCCACAGCAGAGAAATTAAAATTATAACAATCATTATTAACTAATGGAAAACTGAATGATTGTGAACAAAACATATATATTTTCTCTTGTCGTTTTGTCAAAGTGGATAAAACCATAAACCATATTATCACCACTGATTTATAAAAGTTTTTTTTTGTCAGGTGAAAACAAATCCATGGTCCAATACTGTCACAATGGTAAATGGAGAGAAACGGATATACCATTACGATGCAGAACATGAGAGGAAGAGAAAGGAACAACTCAGGAGACTATTTGATAGGACACAAGACCAGGTTAATAAATTAAATCAAGTACTTTTACCTCTTTAAACTTTACCAGCTTAAGAAAAGGAGGTGGTACTACATAATATTATTTGGACACTAACATAGATTCACACAGCCACTATATTTTTTTTTTTCGTTCTTAAATAGCAACCGATTCTCCAATGTAATTATGTTGACTATACTGCCAATGTCGGGTGCCACTAAATATATCTACTGCTGAACTTAGATCTTCCCCAATGAGGACCAATAATTTAATTCTTCTCTGTCATTTCGGATACTGTTTTCCTCACGATCACTCGCCATCTCATCCTGTTTGTGGATTTTGGCCAGGTATCAGACTGCGCCAGACGTAGTCTGATACCGCGTTTCCTGTTGCCGATTTGACTTGATCTGTCCTGGACAGACTGTCCAGCGCATAAGTGATCTGCCTCGGGATCTGGTTCTCTCTACTTTCCCCTGACCGACCGTTGTTGTTGTTATCACGCCAGGAGACATGGCAAAATACTGCAGTAAGCCCGTCTTTGCTGTGGTTGACAGACGGTTTGTGATGCCGAGTTCTCGGAGTATGGATATGTTACTAATAATTCAATACTAAAGTATAAATGTACCTATTATTTACTGTTTTCTTCCAGATTGACGAGGAACAAATGCTTATAACAGAACTCAAGAAGATAGAAGCCCGTAAACGTGAGAGAGAACGTAAGACCCAAGATTTACAGAAGCTAATATCCAGAGCGGACAGTGGAAACTTGCCACCAATAAATCAAGTGACCAATAACAATGAAGGGGCCAGTACGCCTTCTAATAATGCTTCGAGTATTGCTCGGCGCCATGACAGGAAGCTGCACAAGAAGAAACTGACTGCTCAACAAAGACCTGTGAGGGCTGTGGAAACTGTTGTAAGTAGTGAACACAATAATTGTAAATATTGACTTTTGTTATTGATGAAGGACTCCCTCCGTATTACTTACGTTTTGTTATTATTTAAATCTATTTAGATACATAACATCACGCCTTTTACCCCCGAAGGGGTAGACAGAGGTGCACATTACGGCACTTAATGCCGTAAATAAAAATCTGGATTGCGCGTACGAAGTCGCGGGCAGAAATATTTGTTATTAAACTTGTTTTTGTTTTCTTTTTATAGACTGTAGAATGGTCTGGTATCAAGTTCCCCGAGTCTCGTGCAACAGGTGTATCAATGAGGTCACAACGGATGAAGCTTCCTCCTGGAGTTGGACAGCGGAAGACTAAAGCCATAGAGCAAGAATTAAGACTGATGAATATAGGTGTGTATTTAAAAATATAACAAACCTTGTTTTAAATCTTCATATAATCCATACAATACCGACTGAATAGTTTGCTTATAGGACGACATGCTCCATCATAGACAAGTTACCACCAAATAGTGGACTAATGTAAGCCCATCAAATATATATAATTATAAAAAATAGGCATTCTAAGGCATAACCGGTACACACATTATTTCATGTGTCTTCATTTCGCTGATTATAATACCCTAATAGGTACTTCGTACAATACAGAAATCAACTCCCAAAAACTCCAAAACATTCTTGTTTTTTTTTTTAATCTGCCTCGCTTTTTACTTATTATCGTTAATGGTTGATTTTTTTTTAATATAATTTTCAGATGTGGCACCGACACCAACTGAAGCCATCTGCAAACATTTCAATGAACTACGGTCTGATCTTGCTCTAGCATTAGATTTGAAGAATGCTTTAGCTTCATGTGAATTTGAACTGCAAGCGCTGAGACACCAATATGAAGCTCTCAATCCTGGAAAGGTAATTTTTACGATACCTGGGCCTCTAGCCAAACGCCACTTTAGCGCTTGTCTACAGAGAGAGTAGAAATCAAAATGTATGGGGATGCCACTGACAAGTATCAAAATATACGTTAATTCCATATAATTTGGTTTTCTATTCTACATGTAGACAAGCGCTAAGTGGCATTTGGCTACAGCTGCTGTACCTACTAATTTTTATGTTTTATTTCTCAAAGATGATGCCAACATTGAAAATAACCTAATTTTGGCATTCACCTCTATATTATAGCTTACCTATTATAACTTATTCTATTACAGCAAAATTAAAAAATAATACTTTATGTATGTATGTGGAGCAGAAATAGTAATCGTGTGGGCACACGTCATAGTCGTGCTTGCAATCATTCAACTGATGCAATAAAAAAAAACAGCATCATTTGACTGCACGGTTGGTGCGGTGGCTGGGCAATCGGCTGCCGTTCAACGTGTCGCGGGTTCGATTCCCGCACGGAACAACACTTTGTGTTATCCACAATTTGTTGTTTCGAGTCTGGGTGTCATGTGTAAACTTGCATGTTTGTAAACGCACCCACCCACAATTTTTTTTAATATAAGTGTGCTATGTGACTCGAAAATATGATGACGTCATAAGATGATATTTCGTACAAAATTCATAGAACAGTATCGTTTTTGACGTTGCGATATCGGACCGGTAATTCCTGATATTAGCTCATATAAAAAAACAAATAAAATAACTAACTCTTCAGATTTATATGTATGATTTCCTATTTTTATTGTTTCAGACACTCACCATACCGCCTTCAATCTGCAATATGGCAGCTGACAATGAAACCAAGCCAGTCGGTGAAATCATTGATGTTGTTGGATCTCCGAGTGCATTGAATTCAACCATCTAGTATTATATAGTAGTCACCGAGAGAAGTCACCAGTCTCCAGACTGAGACTAATGTATTGAGCAATGCAATGCTTCTACTGTAATTGTAAATTAGAATATGGGAACAGACATACTGTTTTTAAGTACTGTATTTGATATTTGCGGCTTTGAGGAAGGTACAATGTGAATAAACAATGATTATCTTATACTTTTTTTCATTATATATATTTTTTTATTTTTTATTTAACACTTCATGTATAACTGTATACAATGGCGGACTTAATGCCGAATGGCATTCTCTACCAGCCAACCAGAGAAGTGTTACAGTAGGCTTTAAAAGAAGTTTGCATCTGTTGAAAAAATATTCATATAAAGCTGAGCTATCTCAACATCTACTTGTCCGATTCGAAAAATTATTTTTGTGTTGGATAGCACATTTATCGAGAGAAGCTATATATTACATGCTATAAAATATCGCGCTACGATAAACAAGCGCCGAGAAGAGTGGGTGAAAAGGCGCGGATGTAACTAGCTGTTTTATAAACATAGTTTTTGTTGACTTGTAATCTATATATAAATGAAACCAGTTTCCCGTTGTCACGCTGTAACTTGAGAATGGCTAGATCGATTTGGGTGATCCTTTTTTTTTGTTGTTTCTCATTGTCAGGAGAAGGTTCTTACGACAAGAAAAATCCTGAAAATCTTACGGGAACGGGAGAAAACGGGACTGCGTTTACGAAGTCGCGGGCAGAAGCTAGTTATATACATTCAATTTATTATTATTGCGTTGATATAGTATTTGTAACATCACAACAGTATTAGATTAGTGACTGTACTTTAAAAAAAACCTATAGTAAACACAAGATTGATGAGGATTTTTTGTAAACAAACCACAAAATTAAGATTTGATATCTCAATACTACAGCAGCATAACTACAGCAAATAACACTTTTCAATACTTCAAATCTTTTCTGAGTGGGAACACACTATGCAGGTTGATAAACCATAGTGCTACATACAGTTATTGATTGTTTATTTTGATATAAGTATTGTAATTATCTATAAATGACTCAGTCTCTAAAGTTACATAAAAAACAATGTAAAGAAATAAAAAGAGTAAAGTTCCTTAAATTACATTTATTTTAACTTATACTAAATAGCCCCTTTTGGTGCTCCGTATGCATCTGGCATCCTCTCAATCGTATATTTGTGTTCAGCAACATACATAATAGGTACACCTGGTATTTTTCTTATTCTACGTTTCAAATCTTTGTCATTTGTTGCTACAATGTAACACTTGTGTTGAGTTACCCTTTGCACAATACAATCATCAGCATATGTTCCTTTATGTAAACAAGTGATTCTTTCGAACCGTGGGTCTTTAATTATCCTTAACGCTACGCGGTATTTTCGGCCAAGTTTCTCCAACTCTGCTAATACACAATCTGTTATATATGGTATGCATTTAGCATACAGACAGTCCATCATACTCTGTACTATATCTAATTTATTTTTAATAGAGAAGTTTATGAAATTAGTATCGATCAGAACGTGGTAAGGCGGACCAAGCTGCGTGTTATATTGAAAGAATAAAGCAGAACTTGTTTGTGGCGCTTCACGGATTTTTAGCTCGTGTGGATCTATCTTTTTCTTCTTGGGTTCAACTCTATCAGTAGGTTTGATTCTGTTATCACTAAGACTTATCATTTTCTTCATTTTAGCAAATTTCCTTTCAACAATTTTTCTAGTTTTCTTTTGTTTTCCCTGAAACGTATAATAATTTAATTAATTTAGATCAAACATAAAATAGTAACATTTTAAATAGCGTAAATATAAAGTAGAAACGCTTACCATTTTTCTGTATTGAGAGTATTATTTATGTTAGTCGAAGATTTTAGAAGAATTATAAACACAAAATAACCTCAAATCTCAACAATAACACAATGAGGTTAAGTTTAGGGATGCTATGATGATCTGAAATCGAGTTATCGGTCAAGCAAAAATCGATTGTTATAATCGATCCTATGCATTGAATCGATCTCGGACATCCTAAGATCGAGTTATGATTTATTCTGTCTTGGTATAAACCATACAATTAGTTAAGTTGCAAGAGTGCTGCCGGTTAATTACTCAAAAACTCGCAGGATTGCTGTATGTTTAGTCTCCTTCGATTAATTTCACAATAAAAAAGTCACGTTAATAATTTTTGACTTAGAGGTTACTAATTGTACTGATGAAAGATCGTTGTTCATAGTATTTCTCATGTTTTTTATAATTTTGATTTACATTTACATTGTAAAAACTAATTTGAAAAAAAAATATTTTGAAATAGGATCCTTTAGACCTCGATTTCTCTAGATCAGAATCGAAGTTCATCAGATCACGAATCGAACCGATTTTAAAATTGTTGTTTATCGATAAGAATCCCCATCCTTATCCTTAGTTAAGATTTATGAAATGACACATGGATGACAGAAAATGTGTATGACAGTGACAATCAATAAACCAAAGACTCACAGTGCTGCACCATAGACAAGAAACATCACAGTGATAATAGGCAATTTTTCGGGATAAAGGGTCAAAATGGATATTATTATTATAACAAATTATAACAAAAAAGTAAATATAAGCCCAGTATTTATCCATTTGACTATCTAAACAATTATAAATTAGTTTACTTTGTTGACGTGTAGAAAATAAATTCAAAGTTATAAGTCCATCGATGCTAGCGCTACTTTTTCACTTTTTCAGTTGTTAACTTGCAGGGGTTGCTAATGCGAACACATAAAAAGAACCTTATTAAATTGAATCAATTTTTTTATTTGAATCAGTACTCAAGTAAAAAACGAATGAATAATCAGCATTTTCTCGGTATTTATTATAAATTATTATATTCATAATTATGTATAATGATAATATTGTGCTATTTATCCGAAAAATTATCATCTCTACTCTTAATCTATCAATGAATAGATATTTACAGAAATAAGTAATTTTAGCGACTTTACTTAGTAGTTTTTTGCTTTGGTGTTGAAGTTTGAAGGCAGTTTGAGTTTCATGAGTTTACCCGATTTTTTTTTCACGACCGCAGTTTTATATTTCGTGAAAATCTCTTGTTAATTGACATTTTTAACATTGAGTGACATTGACAATGACAATATTGATTGACATCTATATCTCGTACTTCTCACAAGTGTGTCGAACGGAGTGTTTTATTTCGTGAAAATGTCCTCACAATTATCTGCTCGGGAACTGCTTGAATTAGGTGACGAAGGGAGAACAAAAACCGTATTATCTAAATACTGGCCACAAATACTCGGTACCTTTTTTGGAATAGGTTCCGCATCATTCATTAACTTCCAAACTCGACGTCCCATTTTTAGTGGTAAGACGAAATTACATAACAAAAACAGTCGAATGTTATTATAATATTATTAAATTTTGTTATTACATTTACTGTAAATATTTTTTAATTCATTGCCCTCGCCTGTAAAATATAAATACCTATGAGTAGACAAGCAGTCACAAAAGTTGTAGTTTTGAACAATAACATAACCCAAATCAGTAATGTCATTTTGCACTAATTTCAGGAATTCAAAAACACATTCTCCTAACTGCTGGACTAATGACTGCTTTTATATATATGCAGAAGCATAGAGACAATTACTTTGCAGAAAAAGATGCAGTACTGAGACATTATCTTGAGTTACATCCTGACGAGTTTGAAGAACCTCGTAAGTTACATTACATTAAGTACCTATATAAGCTAGAGTCACTTGTACAATAAAACAAATAGATGTTGATGCCATTGTCTGAGAAAGTTGGACAAATAATGTTATAAATTATGATTTGTTGCGTTCAAGATCAAAGGTATCATTAACCATTGTTATTATACTGGCAATTCAGAATTTTCTGAATCTAATATTGTATCAGCTAAGTGGTATACATAGATGCAAAATTTTATTTAAGAAAGTGTTGATAGTAAGTTTATTTTGTTGAGAAATAATATAATGTTAGTATGCTGTTACTCTCTGTTGTATTGAATTTCCTATCTATAGGTTTACTTACAATAAAATTAGTTTGTAAAGGAGTTAAGTTTACTTAAATTTTATTTGTTATTTCAGCTCGCAAGAAGATTGCTGATATCTTTGAGCCATGGGTACCAGTGCGTTAAAAGTATGTTTTTGTTATTTAGATCGATAATAATTAGATAATTATGTGAATAAAACAAAATATTTCATTTAATAAATATTTATTCCTGTTTCATACAGTCACCGGAGCCCGAGTTTCTAGGCTCTTTATGTACTTTTTGGCCATGCAATAAATAGATTAAAATTGTTAAGTCTTTCCTTCTGCATCCTAGCTCTATATTTATATAACATTTTTGGCATTTTTGCCACACAAGTGTGCCTTTTTAATATTATAAAGGTATATTCTGTCTATTAGGCAGAATACTTAAGTGTATAACCCATTTACGTAAAATAACATTGGAGTGGCTTATTAGACTCTGAAAGAGTCTAAAGATTGCTAAAGGAGAAAAGGATAAAATGTATTTCTATGGTTACCTGGTAAATAAGACAGTAGGAAACCATTATCATCAGCATTACTATAGATGTGAAAGAAAAAGTTCTAGTGTGGCAGCCCATAGACTTTAGAGTGTATATTTTCATGGTCTTTGTGTTGATGCAAATAGTGTTGGGCTAAAGCAGTCACATAATCAAAGTCTTCACCACATATAGCACAGTTGTGAACCTCAAAAACTTTACTGGAATATTGATGAAACATTTCCTTAGTTTTCTGTTCAAAAGGCATTAGTGACTGGTTCTCGGGAATAACTGGAAGATTCTGCTCCGGTTTGTCATTAATCAAATGTGGTATAAGATGTCCAACGTCTTTCATTGGTGGCTCTTTTCCAACATCTATTCCTATAATGTCAATGTTGCCGCTGTTGTTAAATCCTTCATTTTGGAGCTTAGTATTCTGTTGAACTACTTGATGCTTTTTTAATTTGTGTAATTTCTGGAAAATAAGAAAGAATTATTTAATAAAGGACTATTGTATAACCAGCTATCACATAAGTGTGATAAATAATTAATTACTTTTCCGTTTTCAAATTAGGGTTTTCAACTTACAAGGTCTCTAGAATGCACATAGGCAGCTCCACAGAGATCACATTTATAGTTTCTAACTCCTCTGTGTTTGTTCATATGTCGCGTCAACTCACTTGAAGTTATAAAACTCTTATTACATATTGAACATTCCTGAAATGAAATAAATAGTAAAAAGAAATATTTCTTCTTCTTTTTCTTTCAAGAATTGCTAGGTTAGCAGTCACCATTACTCTTGCATATTGGGTAAATAAATTGTGAAGATGATTAAAAAAGAGTAACCTATGGAGGTTCTTGCTCTTTCTTTGCCATAGGAGTCTACACCTTACGATAAGCAAATAATTTTTTTACATACAAAAGTGTTTTTCTAGACTAATAAAAGAGTATTATAACACATTGGATGCCGTGTCGGACATTGCTGACCGACGCCAGCGAAGGAGGTGGATCCTTTAATAGTTTTTGTTGGCAGTTAAAAGCTTAAGGAAATAAATTAATTTGACTTTGACATCAGTACTTACATGATCTCTTTGGCCAGTGTGGATCTTTAAATGGGCATGAAGGTTTCCTTGCGCTGAGAATCTTTTGCTGAAAAAATATTGAACAATTATAATACAATTTCTTCTCCATGGGAATCTGCACTTTGGAACAAGCAAATAATTTGTCTAACAGACATTTTAATAATATTTTTTATAAACAAGAATATTTTTTAATTACCTGCATACTTCACATTGAAAAGGTTTCTCGCCAGTATGTATTCGGAGGTGTATGGTAAGATTATGTTTCTGTGTGAATCTGCGAGGACAATACATGCACACAAAGGGTTTATCTCCTGTGTGGGTCCTGGAAATTAACAGGCAGTATTTTAATTTAGAAAATTTTTTGATTAACTAGAGTGTAAGGTATAATCGCTAATGAAGAGTTTGGGGCACTGGTAGTTGCAACATTTTAACAGAACTGAGGACATAATTATTCATGCTGCATTATTTTAATGAGTTTTATTTTCTAGGTATAAAGGGGTCGTTTGGACTGCATTATTAGTGATATATACTAGGAACAGTCATCTCCTCATTTACTATCTATAAATCAATTTATAAATTATTTAATTTGAAAGTTGTCAGTCTGTTATTTTTCCTTTCCTTAACCCATAAATCACCAAGCGGTCACCGGTGACCGCTTTCCACTAATATTACATTACATTATAGACCTTATTTGTAATGTTTAGAGATTACTTTTGTATGACCAAATTTAGGGGGTGGATTTCAACGGGTTAAAATTAAGGATTTAGGAGATGAGATAATATTCCATTTATTTTTGTTATCAAAGACAAGGCCATAATATACAAAATGCACTTACCTAACATGCATCTCTAGTTGTGCCTGACATCGGAACTGCTTATCACACTGATAACATTGGTGATCTTGTTTAGGCTTTGGTTTGGGACCACGTTTCATTTTCTCAGACTCGGATTTCTTCTTATAATTAGTTTGTCTCTTTGGTTCTTGTTGCTTGCATTTGCTATAATGATATAAATTAGTGTTTAATACAACATATTGTGAAAAAATTAAAACAAAAATAATATTAAGCTTACCATTTCTTTATCATTGTTGTATGAGTGGGCACCTGAAAGTAAAGATCGTTTTAAATTATTATACTTCTACAAGAAATTGTCAATCACAAAAAGATGAAGTTAGTTTTTTTTATTTAAGTTTTAAAGTTGTGATTTTGATTAACCTCTAGAATGCACATAGGCTGGTGTATAAGAAACAATAGAAAACACATTGTGACTCGTGTAGATACGGTCTGGAACACTAAAGGTTAAAAGTAATATTTTGCTCTACATTTCTAATTTGAACTTATTATGAAAAATGCTGGCTAGTTAGAATATTTTTTTGTGATACTTACAAATGGATCAGTTGCTACACAAGCATCATTGTATCTGTAAAATACATTGTTTATCAATAAATCAAGCTAAGTATTTACTTTATTACCAGTTATATTATAAAGCCAGTTTTGCACTAAGCACTGGTGATATATTTAGCAATAGACCAATACATTCCTTTATAATTATTTAGCATTGCTGTAATTTTTTTCTTAAGTAGAGTAGGCACTTAAATGTAATTACAATACTCACTTGCTTGGAATTCTCAGTCCTAAATATTGTCTCAGTCTTATATCAGCGCTTTCGCAAGTTTGTTTGAAATGGTAAGCAATGCCCATCTTATAAATACAGTTACTGCATACTTGTTCCGGCAAACCATCATCTTTGCTTATCTACAAAACCAAATTAACACTAGTTTAGTATTTATCACCGCTTTCTGGTAATAATTTAATTTAGAAAATTTTTATTATTTAAATAAATAACTTGCGGTTTACCTTTATATTACAACAATACTCTATCATATCACATAGTGATATATTATAATTTTTGGCAAATACAGACGATAGAACACCTTCTTCAAGACATATTCGACAAATTTTATTCATTACTATTTTAGATAAATAACCGTTTTCTTAATAAATAAATGTGTAATGTAAGTGTAACAATAGTTTGACAGGTCAACTACTGAACTACTGAGTACTGATAACAAACAATAACAATTTGTACCATAAAGCATAAACCCACAGATAACAATATTAAATATAATCATTCGGTCATTCACGCTGAATGATTGCGTTATGTGAATCGTATTAATTTTATAGTTTTTTTTATGGCATAAGTCGGCAGACGGATCACCAGCCTGCTGGTAAGCAATCGATGCCGCCCTTGGACACCTGAAATACAAAAGGCGTTACAAGTGCGTTACCAGCCTTTTGGGAATTGGGAATTTGAGGATTGTGAAGGATTTGGGGATTGGGGAAACTGGGTAGGGGGTATAATTATTAGGCCTCCGGTAACCTCACTCACACGACGAAACACAACGCATGTTTCACGTCGGTTTTCTGTGAGGTCGTGATATCATTCTGGTCGAGCCGGCCAATTCGTGCCGAGGCGTGGCCTTCCCACGCTTAAAGTGTCCTCGCTACACTTAAAGTAGTAGTAAAGTTTTCGTTTTACGATTGCATATACTTTTTCCGAAGGGCGAGTAAAGTTGTAGTGGTCACTTTTTGGTTTTAAGAGTCCTACTCAACAAGAGAGTGTGTCTGTGTATCTGTACCCTCACAAACACATTTCCCAAACTCAATGTTGTTACTGACATTTTTTTAATCTTAAATGCTCGGCAGAATAGCGTTAGCAGGTAAATGGAGCGTTTTGTACAAGAAAATAAAATTCGAACCGTTTTTAAAATTAATATTTTATTACTTCAACCACAATAAAGATTACAATAAAACATAATAGCAACTGATTAACTATAAAAATACACGGAAACATGCTAACATAAACATTAAAAAATATAAATAAAGGATAATCGCAAAAATAATATATTTTATAATTGATGTATTGCATGAATTTAAGACTAGTGAAAAAATAACAATACCATTAAAAAATATAATTATACACTTAGAGGTATAATCAGTACGTTCACTAACATTTATTGGATAATACTTATAAATACGTCGATATGGATGACATTTATTTCATTATTATAACCCTTAATAATTGCGATTTTTATCCCTAAGCTATGTCGAGGACAAAAAAATAAACAAAAAATATTTCTTACAAAGGCACAGGTGGTAAGTTGCACAGGATCATGCAATTAATTTAAAACGTACTCTATTTGCCAAGATAGCATGGAAGGAAGAGTACTAAATACATATTATCTATTATTGGTTTTAAAATGCGTATTGTGGATTTCAAATCACAATTTAAACGTTAGCGACAGCTGTAAGAAGCTTAACGTAGATATCAATGCCTTTCAAAAATATGTCGGCTCTTAGAAACTCGTCGTGATCGTGGAGAAGAACCGGTGTATGGTTCATGGGAGAGAAGCCCAAAGCCGGTATTCCAACATCACGTACGTATCTACTGTCAGTACCGCCAGGGAAAATTCTACAGTCGAGCTTGAGTTTTCTGAAAAGAAAATGCGACTGATTAGGTACTGATGACTACTTACCTACCTAGGAAGAAAAAAAACCTGAAGCGCTTGTTCAAGAGTCTAAAAAATACAACAAATTAAAGAAAATAACATTTAGCTGGGCGACCTTGGAATACACTATTTGACTATTTTATACATTTTTTATGACTTATGAACTTGAATATGCATCGTTTCTAGTTTTTGCCTACGAGTTATTTTTTGCTAAAAGTACTTACAGCTCATCAGCAGCAGCTTTGAAAGCCAGCCAGAAAGGATTGCTTGCATCCAGTTTTGTGACCTCTACGTAATGATTTTTTTGTTCGAAATCGAAGGTTACTCCATCTCCTGCTTCCTTACACCACTTATTTATCTAAAACATACATTATGTACCTCAATAAATAAGTCGAATTTTAAATAATTTTGTTTCAATATTGTACCTCTGTCGAAGATGTTATAATTAAACAAAGTATGGTGCTTTACCATGGCTTCAAATTCCTCGTGGTTAACTGTCACAGCCAATCGAATATCAAAAACTGCAGTCAATTTCTCAGGAACTACATTAGATTGCACACCTCCCTGTAATAAATTAGAAAATAGATAATTACCGTAGCCTACTGAAATCAAGCAGGTAGGTATCTATTGTTTTAAACAAGCACTCTAATTTCATATGCCCACATTTGAATATCGTTGGCCCACTTACCACTTTTATCATATTTAGTGGATAGCTTGAAAATAAATAAGGCAAAATAAATAAAAATGAATATATAGAACAACAATAAACTTATTAAAATAAAATCAATACATTTAATACAGATAGGGAAGACATATCATTCCACCAGAAGCTGTTTTTATTAACACTTACGTATGTTTGAGTCAAATTGATCGTTGTGACGTCACCAATGGTGAGTTTTGGATTGCTTTCCAATATTTTTTTCTGCTCAGCTCTTAAATCCATGAATTTATCAATGATAAACCTCAGCTGAAACAAAAAATGACCATGTAGGTACACGATTATGATCATCATCGATGTCATTACATATTTATTTTTATTGTTAGTAATTAAAAAATATTAGACAGTATTTTTTTATTTTGTCGTATAATAAAATGATACTTAGATATAACGAATCAAAGTTTAGGAGTGGGGGCTAAAACGTCATTTCTACGTATACAATGTACATAGAAGTGACGTCACGCGACATTTCAAATCAAAATAACGCCGAAAGTATTTGTTTCTGTAAGAAAATAAAAAATACGTGCCTAGGATTTAAAATAATCTACCAGACAGACATGAAAATAAAAAATTAGGCAACTACCCTATTAGTGCGATGTTATATACCTAAATTTAAATTTTAATGCTTTCTTGTTCGAGAGATCAGGTTTTATATGAAGCAATCACAATAGCTTCAACACTCAGTGAAAGTGTCTCTTTAAAAGACTTTCAAGTTTTCAACAAACCTTTTCACCCGCGGTGTTAGGAAGCAACAATGATCCATGGCCAGGTTGTCCAGTACAATGAACGTGAATTTCTGTAAGGAAAAAAATTTATACATTAAAACTCGACAAAAAATAAAAGTCTATGAATATTTCTCCAATCCATTCAGACTTACGCCAAATACTCCTTTCGCCGTTAAACAATACAAAGTCTTCATTAGGGCTTGCCATTCCTTCATCTAAAGCGAATTCCACGTTTAAGTCCTTGAAATCTTTAGTAAAGACGAATTTTTCCATGCCATCGTGACCTCCAATTTCTTCATCTAAAACAGAAAATATTTTAGAAGTAACTTCTCTTGAACTAGTTTCAATTCGAAAACTTCCTTCAGTCACTAAGTATTGATATAGCTTCATAGGTTACTAACGAGAGGTCTTTTTCTAGAAGTAAAATGATAATAGTTACTTACCAGGCACGAAACATACGTGTAGAGTCCTTTTTAATTGCACTCCAGCCGCCTTCAGTTTCCGTATAGCTTCAAGGTATTGGATACCAACACATTTCATGTCTTGAGAGCCACGGGCGTAGATCTTTCCATCCTTGTCAATATGACCACTAAACGGAGGATACGTCCAACTGTTCTGTAAGGAATTATATTATATCAGATTTATAAATTGTTTAATGAATTTACACCATAATGGAAGTAACGATCGTATTGAGTGGCCTATCGTAGCAATTCGTTAAGCTAAAGCGATACGACAGGAGTAATGTCAGATGCAAAATTATCAGATTTTTTATAACCTATACCTAGTCAATATAGAGTATCCGGACTTCGGACAAAACCTATTTTTTTTTTCAGTATTTTGGTATGGCCTGGGAATAAAAGAAACGCCCATGATTATTAAAGTAGATGAAGACGGTGTGACGTTGTAATAGCAAGCAATAAACTTTCTTATCAACACTATTGTCTAACAATAAAATTATCGCTACTCACAATTACAGAGATGCTCATCTTCCGACTTATCGATATTTGTCTTAGCAAGATAAGCAATCTCAAATAGTAAGTATTTATTTAAACTGTCAAACACCAAGCGGTCACCGGTGACCGCAACCTATTGTTCTATAATTGTGTCTACAAAACCGGTACTCGACGAGTTAAGTTATTTTATCTACAAAAGAATATACTTACTTCGAATACAGGCACGACATCCATATGAGAATTCAGCAAGATTGATCCGAGCGATTGGTCCTTGCCTGGCCATGTTATAATAACTATGGGCTTGCGTGGAACTAATTCGTATACTTTCACAGCGAGGCTAAGTCCATTAGCCTGCTTTTTCAGAAATGCTACACAGTCATCTGCAATAATAAAGCTATTTTGTATGGCACGTATCAAGAACACGAAGTTCAACGTGTGACCTTGACATTTTGTGAACAGGTACCGTCGTTTATTCGTGGAAACTTCTTTGTGGAAAATCTATGTAAATGTTGAAAACTAAAATACCTTTGTTATTAACTACGTCTAAAATTAGAACTAAAAAACAAAATTAAGACTAGGTGTAGCCTAAGGTAGGTACTACTTCAAAGCAGGGCATGAACTTCGATCTAAATAACTAGATATGTAGAATTATAGACGGAAGGTTGAATTGAATGCAGTTCCCCTCCCTACAAGCAATCAAACATCATTTTGCACTTGGTTAGATGGCCCCTTTGATATCATTCAATTTTACTAGCTAGAGCAGTCTCAATTGCGAGTTGTAGATACCGTCAATGATACAATCTGCTGTATCCTGAGCCCAATGAATGATCTACATAACAATATACCTAGGTTCTTTTATGTCTCTACATACCTCTACATAGGTACGTAACATGAATTATTTGAGTATGATAACAAAATAAAGCTGTAGAAACTGTGGAGACAGAATTTCATTATCAACCTGATAAAACTGTGATATGGTATATTTATTATTATTGTAGTCAGTCAAAATGTAGCGCTAAAATAATATTTGTTTTCGTGATATGTCCTTGAATTTATTAGAGGACAAAGGTGTAGTGTGTTTGTTAGTTTTGTGGCAGTGCACATAAATGCATTTAAAATAATTAAATGTACCTACAACACGCGTTTGTACGTGTAGTTAGAAGGATAATAATTATGTTATTATCGAGTATCCATATTTTAATGTCAACCTCTGAGTTTTCATATCAAATCGTAAAATTAATACATAAGCTAGTATGGTGCATAAAAAAACACTAATATATTCAAACAAAAATGTCTGTTATATATCAATGATAAAATTAAATAATTTAACTCACCATAGTTGATGTCAGGTTGAACACTCGGTATTTTCAAATATTCCACAAAATTCGCGATGGCTGGATTATTTTCGTAGTTAGCAGCCATGGTACCTACGTTTCGCAGCAAACACTGCAGTGGTAATGATCGCTCACATCGGCCGGCAGCGTAGCCGTCGCTGTGATAACAACCTTCAAGCAAATAGTACTATTTTCCTGTAGGTGTACAAATAATAACAATAATGACTTATAAGTTATAAATATTATGTAGTTGTTCTAATGGAAGTGATTGTTTTAGTTAATGGTTGTATATATTCTTATATCTATGGGTAGTAGTTAGGTTCTTGAAAGGGTTCTTAATTGTTGAAAAGGGTTTTAATTTATGTCAGAGAAAACGTTACTTGAAATATAAAAAAAATACCTATCAAGAAATGTAACACCTATATTATAAGATAAAATATCTATAGCATGAAATTATATTTTACTAAATTCCTACAAGGCATTATCTAGATTGCTTTCAATTTATTAACGCTTCAAATAATTCCCGCCAATCGCCCCATTGAATTGAAAACTATCGTTCACTTATAGTTCATACTCATTCTACTTATTTATTATCTGTTGCATGCATTCTTATCTCAAAGATGCATGCCACATAGGTATTTGTTTCTTGTTTATATTTTGCAATCGAAATTGCAGATTGAATGGGTTGTTTTAGCTGTCTAAAACAACCCATTCAGTCTGCAATTTATATTTGCAGATTGAATGGGTTAATATATTTGCAAAACCACTGTAGAGAACCTACTGAAACTCTATTGCTAATAGAGTACTTTTCCGAAATTACTATTTTTATAGTATTTGGTTTTTATTTTTTTATGTTATTCACGTCGGTAGGTTTATAACTATTTATATATAAATACCTACAAATACTTTACTTTTCTTATTTTAAAATTTTGTTTTGCCTATCATTATCGATCTCATAAAAATGTTATATTTACAACACATAATAAAATTATAAGTCGTTGATATACAAGATCATTTTATAATGTAAATATCATAATATAACATTAGTATTTATATTGTTTTTCTTTGCAAAATAGACATCATAATAGGTTAAGAAAGACAGATTTTATGAATAATTTTATCACGCTAATGTAAAATTAATAATATAAAACTCAAACCTCTTGTGTTACATTCAACGATTTGATCACAGTTCTTTTTTAGATAGTGTGTAAATAACAACACAATAATGTTATGACTGCGTGGTTGAATCAGCTGAGCTGAGCACTAACATGAACAGAACATGACAATGACAAGGGTATAAAATTGTATTCCAGGTTCATCAACAAAATATGCGATCAACTTTTCGCATGTATACAATATTATTTAATCTTAGCGTTTGTAATAAAATCGCACATGGAGTATTCACCAATTTATTTTTATTTTTTTTATTAAGCTTTCTGCATCTTGCATTTCTCATTTTTGTTGATCGTTATAAAATAAAGGTTGTATGTAAACGCTAGTTTGTACAGGGTTGGTCTCTAATCTGTGGTAAAAAAAAAATTAGCTTGGCGTCATAGTGTCACTGTCGTCTGTCACTGTCATAATAAGAAAAAACATTGATGAAAGAAAAAGAAACTAGAAAGACGTTACTGAATTTTAAAAGTTCGCTCATAACTAGTTGGTTTAAATTATACGGAGTTTTTTTTGCAATGGATGACAATTATTACGATCTAACTGCCGAATTAGATGCCAGGGAGATATTAAGATATCTTAACAATTTGGGTATTCATAACATAAGTGGTGAGGTCTTGAAGTATTTTATTACAGGTACGTGTTTTAATCGTGGTATTATTGTTTAATAATAAAATTAACTTACTTTGGGATGGTATATATGAGTTCACTGTGTTTTACCCTACTTATACTTTGAAAGTAGTTGTAACGTTTATGTTTACCCATTAATCGTATCTCAGCCAATATTTTCTTTGCACACTCACAAATATAAAATACATTTACAGATTTAAAAAAGCTAATAAAGTATGATCTGCAACAGAAGAATCAGTCCAGATCTACAAACCACGAGAAAGATGAAATGCCAGGTCCAGAGAGGTTGCACAGTGCGAGCACGTTTTGTTCCCGCCTTAGGTCTAAAGGCCACGACAGTGTTATACCAAAATGTACCAGAGAATGTCAGAAGAGTAGAAAAGTAAATGTTAGAAATGTGCACTCTGCACCTAACTTGGGTCAGCCTAAAACAGAAGATAAGCCCCTTAGGAGGGCTTGTTCTTGTGTAAGAGTTGAGAAAAAAGAAGAAAAGAGGTCTGAACTGGAGAAGGAAAGGAGTTCTTCTTGTACTACTAGTAATAATTGTGAGTATTGAATGTCTCTTTGTGTTTAGTAAAGGGGAATCTTGCCCAGAACATCAATTTATTGTCAAGTATGCAGTATATTACAGATAGTAAAGTTCTGTGTGTTTTAATTGGGCATGTAGCTTTCAGACATTATATGGTGTTTGTTAATAACTGTGATTTATGTATTGTGTGTTTCCAAACTACTATTCTTAATTTTTATGACTATTTATTTGGTATAATGCAATGCTAACCATGTACATTTAATGATTTCAGTGATCAAAGTGCCAAAACAACAACCGAAAAAGAAATGTGATCCAGTCACTTTGTACCATTACTACACTTCTTTATGGGACAAGTACAAATCTAATGTGCCGGGCGAAAACAACTGGTCAGACTTACGATGGAGTATCAGACAGAAAATGGCTGGCAATATTGTAAAACAGACATCTTCAAATAAGGTTTGATATGAAAAAAGAAATCTATGAATTGTTTGCTCCCCCTATCTTGCAGAAAAAACTATGATACCAACTAGTTACTGCGTTATAAGTGCTTATTATATGAATACTTATGTACAAAACCCTACAGAGTGTAAACAATATTTTATGTAACATTTATAACAATAATCTCACCCCTGTATTTCATGGAGCACACATAATAGGGGCAGAAGTGGTACCTTAAAACGGGGTGAATGTCAGGAAAATATTCTAACACTTATCCACCTCATTCCTGTATCTATTCACCCCCTCGAATTATATTCACTCCATTTTACGGTACATTGAGAATGTGAACCTCTGTCAGTCCTTCAACATAAGGATCTTGATTAACTTGTCGAATACCGTCATTATAGACACAATTAAAGAACAATAGGTTGCGGTCACTGGTGACCGCTCGGTGTTTGACAATTTAATAAGTATAAACTTATGTTTACGATATTTCAAAGTTTCATTTTAAGTGTATTTTTAAATCTCAATTTTATTGTTACAGGTTCCTGATTCTCACAGAGACAAAGAACAGGGGACCGTTAGATCTTGACATTATTTATGTGTAATATTCTTTTTTTCAATCAACTGACAATGTGAACATTTAGGCTAAGTAAATAAAATACAAGTATTTTTTTAATTTTCGTATTTTTTGACTACATCTAATACATATACAATAACTTATGCACTAAAATAAAAATGTGTTCAGTTTCAAGTTCAGTATTGGCTTTTTAAATGCTGACATATTAAACAGGACGAACATACAAATAGTTGAAAACAAATATTGTTAACATTTCCATGTATTTAAATCATTTATTAAAACTGTTTATCTTCTGGGTAGTATTTCAACCAGTGGTGAAACTACAGGGTGGTAAATTGGAGGACCCCTAGATTCTTATCTGAACTATTTTATATTTAAAAAAGAGGCTTACTAAATTTTGCTGTGGGTCCCTGGTCTGGACCAGTATAGTTACACCAATAAATGGCCTCCTTTCCAAAATTTAAACCTGATTCAATTTGAATGGTTGTTGTTCTTTCAATGTATTTGCATGCAGCCAATGTAGAAGTCGTTCTTCAATCTTTTCTGCCGCTGACAATGTTAGTACCAGAGTGTCATGTTTTAACATGGAATACACATTCAGGCCGTATACTGGCATAATGTTTATATGACCTAGTGTGTCTGATGCTGCTATTATATTCCTAGGTGCTAAGTCGGTGCTGAAATCAGAAAGAAATAAACATTTTAGCAGTCAATTTTTGACAGATCAGTGTGTAATAATTAAATGTTTGTTATACTAGACTGATTAAAGCAAATTGAACTATGGACTACTGTCCATGCACTGCATTAGGAATAATATAAATAATAAATAAAGAGTACAATGTTATGTAGGTACTATGAAATTACACTGGAATTGATACTGATCTTTTTTGACTATTATGATATAGTTAATTTTACATCCATGTTGTATAAAATATACTTACTCATCAACCAGCAACACCGAAGGTCCCCAGTTCCTCTTTTCTATTAGTTCATTTAGATACTCAGGGTCATCCGTTGGCAGTTCCAAATCTTTTACAATATGCAGATCATCTTGAGCCAACTTAGCAGACAAAGTAGTTGTAAGGCCATGTAGTCGGAGGTGGAAGGGTAGCATAAAGAAATGGGTTTTACCAGAGCGAGGTCCGTGCGCTATACCACCACCACGGAACAATGGAGAACGAATTGATCCATGGCGAGCGCGACCCAAACCCTTCTGTGGCCATGGCTTCCTACCTCCACCTCGCACTTCGGCCCTAGTTTTCGTATGAGCCCACGATACGAACCTAATCTTCCTTTGCCAGACAACATTCTGGTTTATAATGTCGATTCGTGGAGGAGCCGCGAACACCAAAGGATGTAGTTCAAATAACCCCAATTTTTGTTCTTCTACTGTATCCAAGTTCTCAATCCATACTTCACGAGGTTTTGTGTACTGAGGTTGGAAAGCCCAGTCCTTTTTAGTAATAGACAAGTTGTTTGCGCTCGCTGTTGCAGCAGCTGCGACGTTTGATGAATATACTCTGACTTGTGGCACCACAGAAATGTGGAGTCTTTTGATAGCACTTATTAATGCAGAAGTCATATTAAATATATTGTGATTATGTTATTAAATTGAATCACAATATAAATTAAACGAATTGTAAGATAACCTCAAAAATGAAATCAAAACATCAGAAGAAATTTGACGTTAACATTATCTGTCACTGTCACAGTGACAGATTGGATTGGCTGCGTTCTATTTCTTTTGAAGTGAAATTGATTCAATCGCTCAATCCTATACAGACATAGAGGTTTTAAAGTAAAATCACCTAAACACGTTTTTACAAATGATTTAGATTATTTTAGATGGCTCATCTTCTATTCTTTTAAAACAGCTCTCAGCTCATATTCTACGATGTTTTAAATCGTCACAAACGTCGAACTTACAGTTAATTCATTAACGTTATGTAAGCTACGTAGTGTCTTAGAATAAACTTCAAACTCGCATTTTTTCTGCAGAATTCATTTCATCCACAAAGCATTATTATTCAGCTTTTAATTTGTATTCTTAAAATTATTACAATTTGAAGTTTTTGTAAACGTTCATATTAGTTGTTCAGTGTGTCTATTTATCTGAAAATCATGTCAACTAACTCAATCTCGGTCCTGCCAGAATAAACTGTTATTACGCAATGGTACAAATTGAAAGTGCAGATTTGTGGCAATTTTCTTGGCGTGGTATTAATTACGCTACAGAGCTGCCGAGAGCGAGCAGCTCGTTTGGATCACTCTATATAGCACCATTACACAGCCCAATCTCAAATTTCAATTTCATCTCGCCGATTTGGCTCTGAATTAGGGGCGATTTATTTTCATTCGTAACATTCTCTAGCGCCGTCGTAGAAGGTAAATGTTAAGGCTTGCACAGATTTATTGCTTTTCATGTGAAAGGTGACGGCTTCATTGTTACAATAGACAGGGGTATTACTCTTTCAAACTAAAGTTCTAATCTTGTTGCGTTCAGCCTTTGCATTTTTTAACGGTCCCTAAAGATGGCTTGTGAAAAGCCCATGTGGACTGTGTACTTGTCTGAGGGATCCAATTTAATCTTGAAATTTTGGAAGATTGATTGGAGAATAGTTTTCGATTCATTGCAATTGTTAGATATTGAACAGAGCAAGAAAAAGTTCAGACTGGGTTTTGGTAGTTTACTTAAATCTAATTGAAATGCGTCGTCTCGATGTAACCCTTTTAACGTTTCAACCACAGAACATAATAAATCTTCTTTATATGTTTTGTGGTTTCAACCGACATCTATTTATCCATATAAACTCAATCCATTTATCCATATAAAACAATTAATGTAATCGTAATGAGTACGCGTTCGGCGCTGAGATTGGTTGGTTCATTGGCGCCGGCCAATCAGAGTGCCGAACGCGAACTCTTTTCTAATACTATATTATACGTAAATCAAACTCGTACCTACTAAGGCCTGTGTACAAAATGGCCATTGCGCTTATAACGAGGCGTCCTCAGTTTAATGGTGTCTTAATTACGAAAAGCAGAACCATAAATAATAAATAGGTGCCTACAATATATTAGTAAATAGACATGAAACATTACTTTCTTTTGCCACCTTTTTTTTTTTTTTGAGGGGGGAAAATCATCCAATGACTTCTCCCGCCCGGGTGAGGCGGGAGGGAGTGTCAGACTCTTACTGACTAAAAACCACCCCGTTCCTACTCCTGCACTTCGAGCCGGAGCCTCGGCAACCCGTTAAGTCTTCCGCGGCTCCGCATCGGCATCAGCCCTGTTAGGCCCCATTTGTGATGGTCTGATGGCTCCTTGAGGCGCGCGCGGAACGCGACGCGCCGTACGCTCGGGCCTGGTTCTGGTCGGGCGGCGAGTCACCCGTGCTCGCCGTCCGCAGGCCCGTGTTCTTTTGCCACCTAGCCACGCAGAGATCTAGAACTGGTTTTAGATATTATAAATAGGGCATTAAACTGTCAAACACCAAGCGGTCACCGGTGACCGCAACCTATTGTTCTATAATTTTATTGTGTCTACAAAACCGGTACTCGACGAGTTAAGTACCACAAATTGCTAATAAAATTACATTACATAGACCTAAGTACTTTACTTACGTAGTCTGCACTTAAAAGTGTTGACGTGTGGAATGAATATCATATCAAAAGTGGAATGCATAATGTATTGAGTGTAGACTCGTTCGTAATAAACCTATATCGTTCAACAACCTTCGAGTAGTGGTGGTAGTGTCTACGTTCGATATTCATTGGAATCACTCACTGCTAATGTCTTCTAGTGACTGATGATAGGTTATCCTGCATGGAGCTTAGTATGAGCCCGAATTTCTTGCGTAACTAGAACGATTTGGTGGAAGTATCTAATGTAGGTACCTTTAGCGAGTACCCAAGTATTGGTGAGCAGGTAGAACTCACTCAGTATTGATTTTTCTTAATGTTCATTTGTTCAGTTGTAGTGCGAGGTACTCATAGCACTGATACCTTTCATAACAAATAAATGTATACAGATACTATATAGTATATACATAGGTACATATAAAATATTTCTCTAGTAGTAGGTACATAAATGAACCTGTAAGTAAGATTACGTAGGTGGTACCTACATAATCATAATACGTATACAAACTGTAACTAATTTTATTGGCGTAGGTAGGCCATATTTATGGGAGCAATGCCATGATATTTGAGAATTTGAAAGATACAATTCGTTAAAATTAAATAAACAAAGTTCATGATCCAGACAAAGTTCAAATTATATTTGGATACATCTGCCTATATATTTATAGGGAAAAGATGAAAAATATTTGTATAATAAATGTCTTCAATATTAATTTAACAAGACAAACAAATTAGTTGAACAGGTAAACAAATGGCAATCAAAATGTTTATTAATTGAATTATTTTATTAAAATATTTCAGCCTTACAATTTGTTTATTACAAGTAAATTGTACTTTGAAGTTTAATTAAAAGCCTGAGGGTGTTACTGTTAATTTCGCATTTCTCCGGTGTTTCGCAGTAGCTCCTATTTTGTTTCACAGTAGTTCCTATTTTGTTTCGATCGAACGTGATTAGTTTTGTCGATGCGGAAAACAGGGCTATATTCATTGGAATAGTATTAGTATAGTAATAGTATTATATTGGAATAGTAATAGTATTATAGAACGGACTAGTATTTAACAGAGGCCTTAGTACGAGTTTGATTTACGTTTAAAGTATTCAAAACGAGTACGCGTTTGGCACTCTGATTGGCCGGCGCCAATTAAGCAACCAATCAGAGCGCTGAACGCGTACTCGTTACGATTACTTTAAACTTAAATCAAACTCGTACTCGTACTCAGAAATGGGTGCTATATAATAGTACCTACCCGTGCTTTTGTGAATCTTAATCATCGTACTTCTATGGTCATTTTAAAAAAATTCGTTTCATTCCGAATGAAATGCCTGCCTACGCAATTTTGAAAAGTTTTGCGAGTAGACAGGTGAATGTGAAGTCAGAAATTAGGTCAAACAAATTGAGTTTTCCGATTTAGAAAGTCTCATTATTGGCAGGGCGTCTAGAATTGTAGCAAACCTAGTATTTATAATTTAATTTAAGCCTGTAATTGGTATTTACATAAGTACACTGTACTCTTATTATTTTTAGTATAGAACATCTCCTCCAATAAGCATTTTAATTTTAATAATATAAACGACCAAAAGTACTAAATGTTGTACCTTCAGTACTAAAATAAAATCATCAGTCGGAAGACTCTCTCTCACTCTTTAACAAAGCCTTGTAACTTACGGAAGGAGTTTGTTGTACCTACCTAATCTCCAAGGTTGGTCGGCGAAATTACTACCTAAATCAATTAGAGGAACAGTAATTCAGAAAATTCTGCTCGTCTCTTTTTTTAAGGGAAGAAAATTAACCAATAACTTCTCCCGCCTTGGGTGAGGCGAGAAAGATTGTCAGACCTACTGGCTAAACGCTACTCCATTCCTACTCCTGCTTCGACCGGGACCGGCAGGCAACCCGTTCAGTCTTCCGCGGCTCTGGATGCTGCTCGTCTCTGGATTACTTTTACAGGTTACTAGGATATACCCGGATACTAAAAAGGTGTAATAATAAGTATAAATAATGAAGTTTCGTAATTTGAATGATATAACGTGTTCGCTAAAGCGTGGGAGTGTTATAATTTATAGTCGCTCTTAATTGTTTTAGCTTCTAACGTTACAAATGCGGTAATTAATTCTTAGTCGTGGTCTTCGTATATTACGAAATGTTAGCGAGGTAAATATCTACAGGAAGGAATGGTAAAAGTAATAGAAAATACGAGTTCGGCGACAATTTTTGTAAGGAACAAATTTTTTTGATCGCTGAAAATAATCCAATAACTTCTCCTGCCTTGGGTTAGGAGAGAGGGAGTGTCAGACTCTTACTGACTAATAACCACCCTGTTCCAATTCCAACTCCTGTTATTCGAGCCGGAGTCCTGGCTATCCTTAGTTAGGCCTTCTACGCCTCCGTATCGAGCATGAACCAGAGCCGGACGCGAGAGGTCGCCGTCGCCGATCACATCATTGAGGACACGGCGATGCCTAGACCAGGCAGGACACACCGCCACCGTATGCTCCACCGTGTCCTCCGGATGGTCCCCGTAGTGATAAATTATGTAATGTCTAATGTACAAATTGTTGATCCTGGTACATCATTCCCATGACGTGTTAATGACGACTTGACTTTGTATTTGTTGCAAAAACATAATATAGGCCATGTATACCTTATGTAGATCAATAGATTTTTATGTGGTTCGAAAGTATTTTTAGACATTCATTTTTAAAGTAATAAAAAAAAATATCGCCAATAACTAATTTTAAAGTTAATATGCAGCGCTGCCTTCGCGATGACATTTTGGTACGATTGCAATGCGATGCTTTGGTCCATAAAAGCTAACATTTTTCAGTAGGTATATCGCTATTGCCAATCTGTAGCAAAGAGAGAAATAAAAAAAATCTGTTTCACTCGCTTTCTGTTTTCATTTCCAATACGATTGTATCAGGTATTCAAATGGTTTTTATTAGCATTTTAATACATAGATAGTGTTGATCGTTAGATAGGCTTATTTAGTTAAAAGATTCAATGGAACTGATGTGGATGTGCCTCCCCAAAAATTGG